GAAAGAAAAAAAACCAACAAAGGAACAAAGGACTACAAAGGACTCTGTACTATTGCGCTCTCGAGCTTACACTTCTCAGGTTTCTTATGATTATAGAAGGGAAACTTTGAAAAAAGATCCTCTCTTCGTTACTTTTACGATTTTCACCCATCACTGGTAGTACGTTAGTATACATGAGACGACCACAAATAAGTGTTAGTGAAAGTTGTACACGTTCTTTTCTGCTTAGGTTTTTCTCGAGCTGAGTTCAAAGGATCCCACTTCTTATTTCACTCCGATCTTTACGTGAAAGTGCTGTTTGCTCGTAGGTGAGATGAGAAGCGTCAACGGAGCGCGCCTTGCGTATGCTCCGCGGAGGTATCTATGGGAAGCTGGCTGGGGCACACGCCATACCTGAACAGTTCATCATTTTATGAGGCTAGAACGAACCAAATGCAGATTTGCTCACTTTTAATATCTCTCTTCGCAAAAAGTTTTTTACCTAACTTCAGGTACCATTCTGTAGACTGGCTTCAACTTAGATTTACAGTATGGAGCGGATCACCGATAGCTCTTCCTTACTGTAATATTACGGTACAAACTGGCAGCAAATGACTCCACTGCGAGATGGGCCGTTTGAAAAAAAATTTTTTCCAAAAAATCAGTGAAATTGTGTAACAAGGTTTTCACGCACGCTGATATTACTACACGACAATTTACGAGTTTCAGAACTTTCCAAATGCTGTATCTAATTTTTTTACGGAAGATCGGAAACTGTTTTTACTGTACAGTCGAGTAGATTTCCTGCTTAATATAGTGTCCCTGCAGAAGCGACAACGCTCGGGCGTCAATAATTGCCTGACGAGTTCCCAAGCTAGTGTTTTCCTGTGTTTCCTTTGCTTATTCCATGCTTTTTAGGTGATTCGTTGCTGATAAAGAAGAAAAGGGTAAGTTAGAAAGTAGTTTCTGTTTTCTGAGAAGTTCTATCATCGCATATTCACAGATATCCACGTGCAAGCAGTTCGCGTCAGCTTCTTGTCTATTTTTTGTCACTTCGTGTCTCTTTCTTCTTGTGAGGTACTTCTTTGAACGCTAGTGGATTTTTAACGATTGACTTATTGTCTTTATCCCATGAAGTACTTGATTAAAACGCTATTTTTTATGGATGAAAGCCGAAGTTGCTGCAAGACTAGCCAACTTGCGTTCAAAGAAACGCCTCAAAGGAGGAGGTTTGAAAGAAGAAGTGACAGAAGAAAAGATGACAAAAAAATAGACAAGAAGCTGACGCGAAATGCTTACACATGGATATCTGTGAGTATGCGATGATAGAACTTCTCAGAAAACAGAAACTACTCTTTAACTTACCCTTTTCCTCTTTATCAGCAACGAATCAATTAAAAAGCATGAAATAAGCAAAGAAGACCCTGGAAAAAACTAGCTCGGGAGCTCGCAAGGCATTTATTGACGCCCCAGCGGTGTCGCGTCTGCAGGGACACTATATTAAGCAGGAAATCTACTCGACTGTATCTTTGGCAGCAATTAAAAAGAAAGCATTCAAGAGAAGAACGAGTTTTATTTGAAATTAGCGATCCTTGTTAACATAGTATAGCAGCTTTCAGCCCCTCCGGGTCTTGTTTAGAAGTAAAGTATAGCAATGACTCCAAAGCCTCCACAAAGTTCCTACCATAATCCTACAGTAGTGAGCGGCGATCAGTGACTCGCTCCATACTGTAAGTTGAAGCCTGCACTACAAAATAGTACATGAATGTAGACAAAAGACTTCTTAGAAGCAGAGATATTCGATCAAATAGTGTATACAAACTTTTGGGACACCCTGTAAGTATAATATTTCAAAGCGTTAGAGAATTACAAAAATTGCTTTCTGTAGAAGGTTTATTTTTAGCAGGCTATTGTTGCACCTTTTATCTCAGTGTCAGATGGAAAATCTAAAAACTAGTGTGGTGAACATAAAGGACCACTAACTTCGGTGATTATCTTCGTACCATGAGCAAAAAGCATCAGGAACGTAGCTGCAGGACAGAGTAAGGAATTCAGCATACCGCTTGTAGCATCTGTTTATCTTTGAAGGGATTGAAATCACTACGTAATATATTTTGGAATCGTTGTTTACCCATTAACACCCCTGGTCCGTGGAACATGGCAAACGAGGAGGCCGCAGACGGAGAAATTATGATGAAATACACTGATCTTTGTTTTTGGATTGCTGCCAATAGCGGCGAGTTGAAGTCAGTCAAATGGCACGATGCCAGATTTTCGCGTAAGCCTTTGGAACGGTGCCAAATTTCGTATGTATGGCAAATAAAATAACACACACATAACGGTGTGTTTCGGGCGTGTTTTCGATCGATATCGTCATTATTTTTCACGTCTGCAGTTTTGACCATCCTAGGAACTGTTCTAATTTCCACGTTCATTCTAGAATTTCTTCCAATAACTGTTGTTCTGGATTCTTCTCATTCGAGAATAGTTCTTTGAAATTTGCTCGTAATAAGAGATTGTCATCGCCGAAGATTTGGTTTCTATGGAGAGGGGAATCTAATCTGACCGGAAGTGCTTTCGCAGTTGGATCATCATTCTCCTGTGCTTCTATGTTCTTTGATATTTGCTTCTAATAAGATTGTTATCGCCGAAAATTTAGTTTCTATGGAGAGGGGAATTTTGAGGTAGAAATTTGCCAAGCAGTACTCCCGGTAACATCGGAGCTAAAACTGAGTTCATTACAAATTCGACCCTTCTGTGTGAGGTGTATAGTATCTTGAAAACACTCACATCAGTGAGAGAGATTTTACTCCAAATATGACATCCGCATGTAGGTACAAATAGCAGATACAAATGAGCAGATGTAACGGAACGTCTGAAAGAACTAACAAAACAAACGAAAGATGAGTGAGGAAATATGTTTTTATTTTACTGAGATCTGAGATGAGTGATATTTAAGCACTGTATTCTCTGCAGGTTTGCTGTGCAAGAGAGGAAAACTTGTCACCGTTTTGGTATACAAAAGTCTGTTGAAACCCGATCGGGCAGAGAAAACATTTTTGCATGTTGGGGCTGTTCTTATAATTTTCAATTTTCGGTCTTCAAGCGGCACGTAAGGCATGAACTTTCTTTTAGATAGATAATATTGGTTTGTAAGCGGCGCGTAGGGCAACCCGATCGGGCAGGAAAAACTTTTGTATGTTTGGGGCAGTTCTTATAATTTTTAAACGGTCTTCAAGCGGCACGTAGGGCAATTTGATCGGACAGGGAAAGAAATTTCATGTACGTTTGTGCAGTTCTTATGATTGACGGTCTTTGGGTGGCTCCCTTTTGTGGTAAAGCTTCATATTCCTTCAGCGAAAAAATAAGGATTCTTTAACAAAGTTCTTAGACGATTGATTTCGTTGCTGTCGGAATTGATTCTCAGAGAAATGTGTTTTTTGTAGTACACTAATTCTTATGGTGTATTTCTACTTCCAAAACGATAGATGTTCTGCTACTTACTTAACGATCTTTTATGGAACTTGTTGAGAAGAACTGAAAGAGCAAATTCTCTTTGAGAGGGTAGAAAAGTGGGGGGGGGGTATCTGAATGTCTCGGTGAGGAGGGGAGTTGCACAAAGAGCGTGTAAACGAGATAAGCATAATATAATGCATGGTTGTAGCAGGAATTTCGAGAAATGCTGAATGATTTGTGGAGATTATCGCTTCTTCGAGCAGTTTTCTTTTGTAGAATCCTCTTCGCAAAAATGTTCTCAGGAAAAGAACAGAAAGCTTATTCAGAAATATTTTTAGTCACAGCTAAGCCCTTATATTGTATCTGCCCTGACCCACTTGCTAGCGACCCGTAAGGTCGCTAGTTTGGTCTAAAGAACGGAAAGAACTTTCGCAATGAGTCAATAGCAATGTGTGAAATTAAAGTTTCTGCAATATTCCAAGCCCAGTAAGGTAATATCACTCTTCACCATGGGTGTCCTGTCATTCTCTACTTATTTCTGTAGGCAATACTAGAAAAGTTTCGGAAGTTGGAGCTTTTATATCTTTGAAGTTGAAAAGTATAAGTGAATTGGGTAAACCAGTCGAAGAATAGAACTATGACATTAGCTACAAGTTATCTGTATCTAATTAATAAACATCTCTCCTATGATATAGTTGCAAATTATTTCGTGAATAACTTGAGGAAGCAAGTGCATAATATCACATTTAGTGCTAGCCTTTCTTTATTCAAAACAACCCGCAAACCAATACAACATGTGCTCAAAATAATCGCTATTTATTTCTTTTTTTTTCACTGCAATTTTAGTTTCAGTTTCATTTTCACGCTTCATTTTATTCCATACGCTCAGGGCGTTCCTGCATAAAAAGTGGTGTTAGTAGTACAATAAAGGCTGGAGCAAAATCATCATGTAGCTTAAGCCCAGCCTACGGTCGAAATTGAATGCAATGATTCAGCTTGCATGGATAAGGCATACGTGAGCGCAGTAGTCAGAAATAACTTATTTTATTCATGCAGATGGTACCCATGCCTTCTCATTTGCCAGCAAACGATCTATGAGCATTCATGCGAATTAACCGGAGGTTCGGAGAGCGGGTATATTGGCCAATCTTAGCCTATCTACCGGCGAAAAAACCGAAACTCCAAGTAAATACGCAGAGGTCGTGATAACGGACTGCTGTACTGCATATCGATTTGTTAAATAAAATATAAAATATATAAAAAGAGTTAGCATCCCGGGTTCCACCCCGTTCTAAAGTCTTGACTTTTCATGTAGCGAAACTTACCTTTCTTTTGATTCCGAACCCCTTAGGTTCGCTACTTACCGTCCTTACCATATATTGATTACCATCAAATCAAAGTAAGCTTCACCGCTCATCTTTCATGGCTATGGGAAGTATGCACAAACACACAAACACACAGATTTTCTGCTTTATACAATATATAGAGAGGTAGAGATTATTTAAAATTTGTACCTACGAAGACCCGTGCCCCCTGGTGTGGAACTTTGTGGGACTATGATAAAAATTTCAGTTATCAGTATAGTAGCAATTATGAAGACGTTATTACTAGCTCTGACTACATGTGTCACATTGTCGTTGACATGCAAATGTAAAACGCAGACGGCGGAGGAATCGTTCTGTGCAGCCAATTGGGGTAAGAATTGATAGTTTTTCGAGTCTTTGTTGAGAGCTTTTGTAATTATTGCAGTCTCGCACGTGCGAATAAAATTGCGTATTTCAAAGCAGCCGATGCCTCCCGGAACTGGTAGAAAGGGATTAAACAATATACGATACGCAGTCATTCATGAGAAAGTGTTCAAGGTAATTGCAGATAAAGAAATAGAGGAATTATTTATCATAGGCTGTTCAAAAAAAAACATTGCAACCATATCACAACTCAGTAGTATAAAACTGATGTTGCACAAACAGATTCCGAAAAATTCATTCAATTTGATGTATTTCTCAACGAGATCAACCGCTTTCTAAAGTGCTCAAAGCAATGATCTTTGGATTTTGCGTCGTTACAAGTTGATGAACCCGCACACCATCATAATTTCGGATATGGACAATTGCTAGAAGGTTCTTTGCAAAATTTGATTTTACGATTTCATGACATACTCTTTTTGACTGGAAGTGAGAAAAACAGAGTTTTTTTAAAATTATCTACCTACAGTCTTCATTTTCGTTCTCAATTTTATTAGTAACAAAATCTATCATACGGGGTGTCCCAAAAAATGTACCCACTGTTTGGTTGTTAATAACTTAGAGGGTGAGAGACCAATAAATGTGCTGTTCAACGCCCAAAAAATATTGATGTAATCTTTTCAGTCGCCAACCCAGTCCCAAACTTACCACAGATTTAGCACGCTATTGAGCGTCAAAACTGGGCTTCGGCAGCCAGCAAAGTACAGTAATGACACCAATGCGTCGTTTGTATGACGATAAACCTATGCTAGAGTTTTTGAAATCCCCGCAAAGCTATCCTGAAAGCTTCGGAGCTGGAAAGCAAGGGAAGGCTTGCTTGCGTTGATTCGCTTGTTCATTTTCACTGAATGCCGATTGCGTGGTGGAAACAATGTGCTCTACGTCTGAATTTTTCGGACCAAGTAAAGATTGTGCATCATACACAAAATTAAGTTCGCGATGTGCTTACAACGTCACAAAACTTTGCGGACGGCGAAGTCGAGTTTTGACGCTTAAGAGTGTGCCAACTCTGTGGTAAGTTTGGGACTGGGTTGGCAACTGGGACGACTACACCAATATTTTCTGGGCGTCGGACAGCACATTTGTTGGTCTCTCAACGTTTATCCATATGGGCTGGATAAAAGTTTGAAATCTCAGTAAAACAGCGTTTTTAAAGCCGACTTGGTCCGCAGCCATGTCGGGCTATAAAAGTAGAATAAAGTTCCCCTTTTTGAACATTATTACGTTCAGCGCACAGTAGGTATCTCAGATTTTGACACTGTGGTCCTACATGAAAGTTTGAACGAAAAAGGTGCAACGTTAAGCGATAAAAGAGCTTTGATTGAAGTGTTCGTATAATTATGAACCGTTCAAGGAAGCGTTTGGCGCACAATGCTTCTCCAAATTTAACACCGAATTTCATTCTTATGTTGCGTATACTGTTCTCGGCTACGCTCTTTCGCATGCTACCAATGTTTCCTTGCCTTTCTTTTTAAGACTTCGGCAAATGGCAAAATTTGGGGTGTTCGTATTATGACCAATCTTTATTAGGGTAACATAAGTTTTGAGACACTCTCATTTCTTACGGCGATAAATCGAGTTCACATTTTCAATAGGGTTCCAAAACACCACTCGGTAGAGCAAGCAAGCTCTATAGGATGGTGTGCAAAAGTTCGCACCAACTTCGACTCACTGTAAATTTGCATTCAAAATCTGAGTCGTACTAAAAGCTCAGAAGATCACGAAAATTTTTTGTTTTAAAAATCCTAACAATCTCCAACTTGCTCATAAAAATTGCACACTACAACAGACACTCATATATACCGTAGCTGGGTTTGTTTCTCATTTAAGAAAACGATGATTTCCAAGTTTACAGAAAAACGAAGCTATGCTGTTTTCACTCATGTAGTCGTATACTACAAGCTCTTACAACCTCGAAAGCGAAGGGAAGTTCACTTATTCGAAGTGGCGATTCGGAAGGAGGTCTATACCAGTGGATAGAGCTCAAAAAGCTGATCTCAGATATACCTTCGATATCTGCGATGCGTCGTTTTGAAAAAAGTTATGACCTTTTCTAAAGCCAAATTTTCGTGCATTTTGAGTCGCAAAATCATGATAATCGCTACACAAAAGTTTGCAAGCTGAAGCAAACCACCTAGTAAGCACTGTAGGTTTAATTCGAGTTCATCCGAACGCTTTCGAGGTTTTTCGACCAGGTTGTTCATTCACAGGTCGTCATTTCATTCCTAGATCACACCTCCAATATGTATATAAAAAGCCCCATAACCTCCATCTAGAAAAACGCGTCGCAGATATGGAATTTATATTTGAGAACATAGTTTTATGTTCTATCCGCTGGTAGTTTCCAAAAAGTTTCCGACGCGACGCATTTCTCTAGATGGAGGTTATGGGGCTTTTTTTGTATGCATAATGGAAGTGTGATCTAGGAATGAAATGACGACCTGTGGATGAACAACATGGTCGAAAAACACTCGAAAACGTTCAGATAAACTCGAATTAGACCTAAAATGCTTATTAGGTGATTTGCTTGAGCTTGCACACTATTGTGTAGCGTTTATCACGATTTTGCGACTCAAAATGCATGAAAATTTGGCTTTAGAAAAGCTCATAACTTTTTTCAGAACGACGCATCGCAGATATAGAAGGTATATCTGAGATCAGCTTTTTGAGCTCTATCCACTGGTATAGATCTCCTTCCGAATCACCACTTCGAATAAGTGAACTTCCCTTGTTAGAAGTATAACCTAAATTTTCAGCTTTCCACAGCCCCTAGTTCTCAAAAATTACTGAGCTTAGCTCTCTTCACTAGGGTGTTCCATGCTCAAATCAATATTTTTCGAAAAGTAGGGCTTGTAGAAAGCTGAAAATTCACGGTTGTACTCCCAAGGGCTTGTAGTATGAGTGAAAATAGCATAGCTTCGTTTTTGTGTAAACTTGAAAATCATCCTTTTCTTAAATGAAAAACGAATCTAGCAACGGTATACATGAGTGTTTATTGTAAAGTGCAATTTTTATGAGCAAGTCGGAGATTCGTAGGATTTTCGTGAACAAAGATATGAATTTGAGCCTTCTGTACGACTAAAATTGGGTGCAAACATACAGTGAGTCGTAGTTGGTGCGAACTTTGCACACCATCTTGTAGAGCTTGCTTCGCTCTATCGAATGGTTCTCTGATCCCCCCACTGAAAATGTAAATGTAAACTTTGTGACTTATCGTCGTAGTGAGAGTGTCTCAAGACTTATGTTACAACCTATTATAAAGGCGGGTGTAGGGCGTTAGGCGACAAACCCGATTTTTTGAACCCCAAATAACTACCCGTGCAAAGCGTCTTCTCCGCCAAAAACGGGGGGGGGGGGGTGGGGGTTGGGGCCGATACATTACTCGACGCCATCAAAAAAGCACATAGTTTTGACTTACGGGCTTTACGTTGATTGCTTTTTGCACGTTTTGTCGCCTAACGCTTGCCCTCCTAAAATATAAAGGCCATTCTGACGCAAAAACTTGTTTATCATAAAAGGTAATTCCCAGCATGCTGTGGGCAAACTCAGGCTACAAGACTTTCGTGATACCCTGTTGAGGGCATTCATTTTGGGTTTAATCAGAATTTTCCTTTACTTTCATGTTATAGAGGCCTTCTGGTGTCGCAAACTTACCAGCTGAGATCTACACCCCATCAGAACCACCAGCATGTGGCTTGATCATTGATGCTGGGAAAGAGTACCTGCTGGCAGGTAAATCACCTCTAATAATTAGCACAATCGTTCTTAAGATCAGTTCATTAGTTTCTAGGTAGAATGCTAAATGGAACACTACATACTGTCTTATGTGGACAAGTGCTTGCAGACAATCCTTCTGAAGAACTGTACGAAAATGTGTTGGAGTGGAAAAAGGTTCCGAGACAACTGATAACTAAGCTGGAATCCATTGATTGTGACAAAAAACAATAAACGCTTTATAGCCGAGTTAATGAGTAACGAACAAAACAACTTTTTTCTTGCAGCAGTGCCGTTTAATATATGTCAGATCTGGCAATCAGATATGCGAATAATGAACAATTATTCAATGCCTACATCTTGAGACGAAAACGCCGCAAGAACATAGCGTCGCGCTTTTTTGCACTTGATTTTGATGGTTTTGGAAAGCTTTTTTTAGGCAGAGAGTGCTACTTAGAATTTTACTTGAAAAAAAAAATGATTTGGAGATTGTTGGCAGACTTCGTGTTCTACATCTTTTTGAATGCTTTGGAGGCATCATCGTAAGCAAGAGTCATCTTTGCGTCTCAAACATATCTTGTTTTAGTTATATATGCTAAATATTCTATCTATACTCTGCAAAGATCACAGTCTTCAGTGACGCATGCGCAAGTATGGTCTTCTTGACTGCAAATTCTCTCAGCCTGATACCAACAGACGGATCAAATGGCTATTTGTAGCCACCTTGGTACTCAGATAATCGTCGGGGGCAGGCGGCCATGCTTTTTATGGGCGGGCGGGCACCGAAAAAATAGTTCGCTGTTCTTGCTGTCCGCTTGCAGATATTTGAAAGAATTTTAGCGAAATTTTAGACGAATAATTGGAGAACAATCGCGGTTTCTTTATAGATTAGCTGCAGCGTAGCGGCCGCATTCTCGCAGACTTTCCGCGAGAATATGCAAAATTTTCGAGGGCCGCGGAGTCCTTTGGGGAAAGCCGCGCAGCCCCCCAGGTACTTTCCGCTGAGAGAAAATACCTCAAACTTGAGTATTTAAACCAGAGGTGACACCTCTGCCACACAGTCTTACGTATGCTCGACGTAAGCCCGAAACTGCGCAAAAAGAGTCCGAGCGCCTGCTGAAAGTTCGGCCAGCGTTTGCTGAAAGAGCGCCTGCAGAAAATTCTGTGTTGCTGCCCGCTGGGCAGATCCGCGCCATCTGATGTACTCAACTTACCTGAGTTCACGCAGCGTGGTTACAGTAAGTTTCGGTAGACAAGAAAACATGAAATTGAAACTTGAACCTGTAGGGTATTCGTGGACCCGGTAGGGTTATCTGGTGCGCGAATTACGAATATAGAATATGGTAGTCATTTTATACTGCGGTGACATCTGACGAGGTCACGGTAGTCTATAGTAAGTGAGCCAAAGTGACAGAACTAGTTCAAACTTGGCACGCTGGGGTTGTCTGGGGCCCAAATCACGGACGTCATTTACACTGGTGTCACTTGGAGCAATATGATAAGTATGAGTATAGTAAGACAAAATCACAAAAATGGACAAAATTTGGTTCAACAGGGATTTTCGGTGCACTGACCACAAGTTTGTAGAATCATACAGTGGTGTCATTTAGCGGGGTTATAGTGGACATACGGTAAGTGAGCCCGAATCATAGATTGTGGTCAAACTTTGCCCAGGGGGTTTATTCTGGGGCAAATCTGAAAAGTCCATTCTTTTCATTGCGTATGTTATCGCTTTCTCTAGCAGTTTGAAGCTTTCGGCTGAGCAAAAGACCGACCCGTGCAATAAACACCATACCTCGATGAAAATGAAAATTGGTGGGGCTATGATATAACATGTCTTGGCAAGCTTTATGTTAGTGGAGTGAGCACATCAAAGCAAAGCAATTCTTCAAAAATGAGCCGTGACCTAATGGTTCAGTGGATTATCACGATTAAACCGTACAGGTTCGAGCCTATCTTGAACGTTGCTTGCAATACGTGCTTCAACAGCAATCAAAACTCCGAGCTTGGGAGTCGGAACTCGAACCTTAAAGAGCGGAACTGAGTTTTACGAACAAAATTGTAAGTTTCACGGATCTCAGAGTTTTCTTTCAGTTAACGCGGAGAGCTACAAACTCGGAGTCTTGATGAGATTACTACCGACCCTGATTATGATTGAAATGATGGTTTTTAGATCTGATGTGCACAATAAAACGTAAAGCGTATCAAAATATCAACTGAAAGTACTTTGAACCTAGGGTCTTACCAAATACCCTATAAAGATAATCAACACCTGTACTTGATGCAGTTCTTCCTCTAAAGCAACCAAGATTCACAATGTAATTCTTGAGGAAATGCTGAGGTAATCGCTGGAAATTTCACCATGTCTGACTTTTGCTGATATTCAGAACTTTTATGTGAGACTTGAAACTTCTGATAAGCAGCTGATAGCGCGAAGCTTTTGCAAACTAATGCAATTCTTTGTAGGCTTTGCGGCTTTTCATTCAGAATTTCTATAATATATGTTACTAGCTGGCAAACCCGGCTCCGCCCGGCCCTGTCATTATTATATTCGTAATCAGCATGTGTTGCGGCTCGGTGGGCTCTGCGCCCCCTCACCTAGTGCTCGACTGCCTTGCGTCCAGCTCCTGTCCCCAAAGGACTTCCGCCACTGCGGGTGGCGCCAACTCACAATGGCGCGTTACGCCTACACTATACACGAAACAATAAGAATATATAAATTTACTAAATAAATATACACAAAAATACACGATATAAACAAATATAAATATACTTACCACGGGGAGAGTTAAGCTCTACCCCGGGCTACCGATGGGGGCTCTAACTTACTCACACTCACACACTAGCACACTCACACACTCTCCCGGAATCCAAGGGAGCTACCCACAGGCCGGCCGCGCGCCGCCAAGGCAGCAGCTACGGCACGGCAACACCGACCCCATGCTGTTAACCAACAGCATCGAACAAAGCTCCCAACAGATCCTGCGCGACCAAGGCACTTCGTGATGTTCATCATCCAGGAATTCTATCCTCGCGCGTACATCCAAACAATCCATCAACGATTCATCCAATCGCGCGAGGCACGGGGACGTAGACACGACGGCGATATCGTGGAGACCCAACCAATCAATAATGAAGGCGGCACGACGATAATAGTAAGATGGTAAGACGAGAGAGGCCGCACTGGCGCGCGTACGCGCTATTTATAGCGGTGGCTGGGGGCGTGTCTACATGGTGTGGTCTCGGAGCGAACAAGGTAGCCGCCGTAAAGCGCGGCGACCGTGCTCACGACCGAGACGCGCGGCAACACGGTGCTCCCGGCCACACGGTGTGAGGAGCGGTCGATCGCGAGCCGCGACACTCCCCCCCCCCCCACAACGAAAGGCATTGGGCGTTGCGGATAGGTGGTTACGTGATAGCACCGTGACCTGGGGCAACTGCCTTAACCTAAAAAATTTGGGCGATGATAGAAAAAAAAAGAAACATACGGCATCGGTAGCGAGGGAACAGACAACAACCCGCCCCGTGGTAAAGCACAAAAATAAACACAAAACTACAGGCGCTTTGACGCGCAGGTGACTATCAGAATAAACCGGAGCGCTTAAGGCGCTTACCAAATAAATATGAACAATGATTAGAAATACTTCTACAGCTACTAAACTATGTACAACGTTTCAGGATAGACGCTCCAGCCCATAGCATCATCATCGTTCCACCTCGCCATCTCACCATCCATCTCGACCAGCGCTGATCTAACTGCGCATCCAGCTCGCACTACGTCCCCCGCACCATCAACGTCTAACCACTCTAAATATACTCATACGTTCAACATCTAGGGAGCGTAATGCCCGAAACAAAACTTACCACCCTGCGAACCTACATGACGCGCGTCCTGGAACGCACACCCTGAAACAAAGGGAAACCTCCACCCTCTCTTAATTTAGACTTAATTTACGATAAAAGGGCACAAAATAAAACGATAAACTGAGAGGGTGTTGGCTTCCAGACGAAAAAAGTACCACGTCTTTCCAGAAACATTCCCAAATTTGCGCATCTAGCACCCGTCCGGACCGAATTGGACGAAGGTCCAGCCTCCCGCCGAGGACAAAATGCCTCGACGAGGGGATCGACCCCGCAACTCAAGGACCCGGGGGTGCAGCACTGTGGGTCTGTTCAAGGAAAGGCGGCCCAACCTATAGAGCAGGTGTTGCAGGAGCCTGATGGACTGCTCGTAATGGCTCTATGGTCGGGACTTAGGCAAATGAGACGGCGCGTCCGGTAACAACTGCAACTTCCTAAAGTAGATTATACCGCTAAGCTGCTCGACCGAGTAGCAATAATAAACAAATTAAATAATTAGCGGGAAATTTGAATGATGTTAACGCGCTACTACAATAGGAAGTGTAACTGGTAGGGAGCCGATGAACTAAGATGTTACGCGGGACTTTACATGGCGCGATAGATGTTAACGCGCTCCACAAGTGCGCCAGATGGTGTTAGCTAGTGGGTTAACTAGTGCGACAGATGTTATACGGTAAGTGGGCAAAGTATAAAAATAAAATTTTAGAGGCGCGACAGTCACAAGGATGTTACAGTGTAAAAAAATTGACTGACGCGCAGATGCAAAACGTTAGTAAATTTAGAAGTATAAACTGTGAAAAAGGAAAATTCAAAACAAAATTCAAAATTAGTGTTGCCTACTAGTACCGTTCGAGTCCACACTATCGCCCGATTGCGCGTCCACCTGCGCTTCTTGTGAATTCGCCATATGTACTGGTCCACGAATCTCCATCAACTCCTGCCAGAAGTCGTCTTCAGACTCGCGCGTCGAATATCCTATTCCCGGCTCGCCGTTGGTCCCATCATCCTCAAAAAAGATCATCGTCACGAGGTATTCTAGGCTGATTAACGGCGCGTCCAAGCTGCGCAGTGAGACTTCCCTCTGGGCGTTCCGACGATGAATTGGCATGAGCATGATTAATACTCAGCGCGACAACTAAATGATGTTATGTACTTAGCCCATCTACTTAGCGTGTTATGCTAAGTATATACCGCACGTCGATGTTAAGGGAAGCGGGTTTACTATGAGCAAACTGAGTATAACCATGATCAAATGTTGGAATATAAGCCAAGCTGCTGAGGAGGACACTACAGCCTGTGCGGGAGTAGGTGCTACCCGCAGGACCATTCAAACCTTCGTCAAATTCGGGTTGCGCTGCACACCGAGAGTGTCAAATAGGAGATGGAACAAT